TGGAGCAGCTGATTACGTCATCATGTGTTCTGGGTGACACTTGCGGAGGTGGCCTGGACCCACATGGTTCGGGCCCCTGTCCGGGTACATCGCGCGACGCAGGGAGGAGGGGGGCGGAGAACTGAAAAATGCGCGCGCGCAGCCGGGCTCGAACCGGCGACCTTCGGGATGCGAAGCAGAAACTTTACCAACTGACCTGGGGCGCCCCCCCTCTGACGCCAAATGTGATGTGGACCACTTTTGCGCTGGATGCGTCCAATACAAATTGCAAGTGAATTTTCCTGATGTATCCGTAAACGTGAGGAATGTGAGATGGCCGCGCATCCCATACAAAAACCAAGTCAAACCACTGCCTTGCATGTAACATATCTCCGATTTGCGGAACAAAAAGTTGCGCTGGGGCTTGAGGCGCCGATGCAGATTGCCGGAAATATTCGTAAACCTACGGGATGTTCAATTAACGTCGGACGACGATCGCGCCTCCTGGCAAAGTCAAGTTTACCGATTACCGAGATGATATTTTGCAGTGGAATCCCGTCTCGTCGTTTTTGTCGTTGAAACGCGGGTCATTGGTTGCGTAGACTCTCGCTGAAGTTATATTTTTGAGAGTTCATATCGTCACTGGCTATTTTGTACGAAGACGCTCATCGTCCCAGAGGATATGACCACTTCCGCGCCGAGTTCTTGAACGTGGCGTGCTTGGCATCACGCCAACTGGCACGTCGAGAGAGTCCGGCAGAAGTAAAAGTGCAATCGAGATGGAAAAAGAAAAGGTCCTCGGTCGTTAGCGTAGAACAAAGCTGGGTGTAGTGCGGTGTGAGGATCGATAAGAGCGTTGGGTCGCAATCGTCGGTTGGTGCTCCCTTGACAACATGATTTAGAGGCATACCCTTTTTCAAGTCCCCAGGAATTTCCTGAGTCAATTTGACCAGACTGTTTACCTGTACTGGACGAGCTTGACATGGCTGTACGCCACGACGGAAAATCGAGCTGCACTAAAACTTGGACTCCACCTCAGTATTGTCGTCGTTGTTGTTGAAGTGGGTCGTCTATTACAATAGATAAAACTGTGCTAAATAAAATTGTCGGACTTTCTTCGTTGTGTGTACTCGGTTGAGGGACTTGATTTAGGCAGGCGGAGGCAGGAGCGAGATCCGCGGGACGAGGTGACGTCGCGGCCACTCGTGTTGGGCGAGGAGCCGGAGAAGCCGACGAAGAGCAGGCTGCTCGAGCTTTTGTACGAGGATGTGGTGCAAGTGCAGTTGAGTCAGTATTGTCGTGGTGACCAAATCATTTTCACCAGCAAACGCCCAACAAAAGCAGATGTCCATCAGAACCATCACTCTCGACCATCATTCCAAAGTGGACAGGCGCTACTTCGAATCACGCTGGCCAACTTCGTACATAATACCTTACCGTTTAGCGTGCTTTAGGGGCAGATCTCGGTGCTGTTCGATGCCCTTTTCAACGCCACTACGAAGTAGTACTGGTGTAAAAAATCTATCAAAAACGAGTTTTGTTTTCTGCATATATGCCGCAAAAATCCCAATAGCGCCATGTCCTACGTCGAAGGACATGCAAAAAACGCGTTTTTCAAAAGATTTCGTGCACCATGTTACACGCTCAAACGATCCTTGCACGGATCGAGACGCCTTTTGGATCACCATTTTTACAAGGCGCCGCGGCGACGTCGCGACCAAAGACCACCAATTTTACGAATTAAAAGCGTTTACCGAGGTAATGGTGGCTGCAATCGTGGTGCCAACGATGCAGAGGGCAAAGCAAGATCCATGGGCTGTGTTGTGACTGGTACGTTGTACACCTACGTTCGTACAGCAGCCAGCAATGCGAGACAAAATGAATTCTTTGGATTCACTCCATGAGTTTGCCATTTGCAGTTTCTCGTTGCGAGAGGCATCACTCGTGTTCGATAGTGGACTCTGATGCATTCAGCAGCGCTTACACACTTGCCGGACGTGTTGCCAGTGCGACTACCCAACTTGGACAACTGGGACTTGGACGATCTCGTTTCCGCGTCATCGGACGACCTCTCGTCGTTCATCGCGGACGCCCCGAAAGATCGCGCACCAGCAGCCATGCACCACCGACGCCGACGTAACCGCGCGCTCGAGCTCGAGCTCATGATCACGGCGCTTCAGTCGCAGCTGGCGGAGCTCGAGCGCCGCCACCGGAAGGTCCGACGTCCGTCCAACAATGCCATGTATGCTCTGGCGAAAGCCGAAGGCATGGCGCTCCAGCGAGCGAGGCGCAAGAACGCGCAGCTCCTCGACGCTCTTTGCGAACACATGCGACTGCGACGGCTTCTCCAGCGCCACCTCCTTCGACAAACGTCAACCTCGAGTTACTCGACAGGTAAAAAATCGACTACTGATAACGGCAAACCTTGTACCAGATAAATACACAGAGAAAATGTACATACGACTAGTGCAGCATCACGTCGTCTTTTACGTCTCGTACAGAACTGGGCTTCAAGACGTTGTTTACGATGATTGGACATGCATGGGGGTTCATTGATCGCAGTAGTCATTGTTGAGTCCTGCTCCGTCATGGTCTACCACGACGACGCACCAACTTTTGGCCGATGAGAGCGCCATGAAAGACAAAAGCATCATTGATTGGTTGTTATTGTGAATAGTGGGTAAGATAAATAGCAAATGACAACGCGTAGGAAACAATGTGGTCATTGGATTCGCTAAAAATATGACATTTCGTGGGCCGTTTAGGAGCTACCCCATTTTCAGGTTGCGTTCAAGCGCATTAGCAGTGTTATCGAAGAGCCGACATGCAGTCGAACCTCGGCTCTTATGTCGGCAAGCACCGACCCAATATGAACTTGCTTTGTACTACCGTAGTACTCTAGTTTGCCATAGTCGTAGGTGCAAAACCGATATTGGTAGTCGAAATTACCTACGTGTTTGTGTCGCTAGATCAACGCTCATTTTTTCTCCTTTAGATGGACGGACTACCAATCCCTACAGCTGTACCACGGCGTGGACACACCATGAGACACATGATGCTACATAGACCATCATTCTTTACCTGCATTCTTGACCACCACTGTATTCTGGACATGGCACTGCCACGCCTCGGACTCGGCATCTGTCTCTCGTTCCAACGTGTGTACCTGCGCTTCGCATGAACTTTGGCATCAAGGTAAAACGCAAGACGTGTCTGTAATAGTGTAGTGGTGTACTGTGCTCTGGACAGCCACTTCAACAAATCTCCTACGATAGCAACGCGCCGTCGCACTCGCCCCCAGTAGTTCAATCGCAAACCATGTAGTTTGCAAAGATGCAGATCGTCACTTTGTACATTCATAGCTCTAGCACACGACGATTCGCAATAGAGTGCAATTAGGTCGAGCCAAGAGCGTACGCGTAACGTGCGGTCGACAGTGTGTGCCCAAGCCAACGAACCAGCTGTCGCTCCGACTCTCAACCGGCGGTCTCCACGGTCACACGCAGCCAATAGCTACAGCACGCTCGCATGTTGGACACTGTCCAGCGCCAACAAAATCATCATGGACGAGATTTGCCATGGTGGAGCATACAATGTGCAGAGGCTCATTTATCCTTTTCCATCTCATTCGTCATCCTACCTTCACATGGCGCGCCCGAGCTTTCATTTCGATACGACGCTCGACGACAGCGACGAGGGCGACGATGGTAACATCTCGGTCGCCGCGCTCTCGGCCTTCTTGGCACCAACCATGGATTTTGGCACGCCCACAGGCAGCCCTGCGCATTTCGGCCACGGTGCATCGAACGAGGAGCAGTTGGTGGCGCTGTCGCTATCGCCGCCATCATCGCCCGTCGCCGCCGCCGCCAAGCCGTTCCGGAATGCAAAGGAAGAGCACGATTACCTCCTTGCCCAACGCGAGACGCTCAAGACGCAGCTGCAAACTCTCTTGGCGGCCGACGCTGCGCAAGGCGACCACCCGAACCCGTGGTTCCACCGCGCCCGCGACGAGATCCGCGCCACGCGTCGCTCCCAGCACGAGAATGCGCGTTTAAAAGAGGCGATTGAAGCGCAGTTGAAGAAAATTCGAAGACTTGAGCGCGCGGCGCGGCGAAAAAAGACACTGCAGCATCCGAGCGCCTGAACAAATCATCGTCTAGTACACTGTTTTTGTTGTCGACTATGTATGGGTGGCTGTCATAGAGTAGTATCTGACAGGGTGCGTCATCGCGTCCCACTCTGGTTGTCACCACACACAACCATGGACAAGGTTAACAACGTTGTTTCTATGGTGTACGACGCTGCGACGGCCGACAGCCTGCTCACTGCCTTTTCTTGGGTCACCCAAGAAAAGGCAGTGAGCAGGTGCTGTTGATGCACAGAGCGACGACCTGCACGGTCGAGCGTTCATTGGCGGCGTCATGTGCACGTACTACCTCCGTCTTGAAGAAATGATTGCTCTGTTGGACCATGCGCTCGGGAAAATGAGCCGTGTCGATCGACATCGTCTCCACTGCATTGCTTTCGATCGTCAAGCGTGGAGGATCACAGCGCGCGTCCATCTTCGTCGCAAACTCCTTCAGTCGACGGACGTGAAGCAAGACGAGGCTCGCGCCGCCAAATTAGTGGCACGACCGAGCGAAAAGAGACTCTTACAATGGCTAGTCTGCGTGCGCAAGGCTAATATCAACGAGATACACTTTTTAATCATTTGGACCGATAGCTAACCCTGGATTCACGCCTCGATGACCTCGAATTGGTGCTTGTCGAGGAGACCTGCGAGGGCGAGGGCGGTCGGGCGCTTCTCGGGCTCGGTCGCCAAGCACAATTGCGCAATCTCAATGAGCCAGATCGGCGACCGCGCCCAATCAAAGTCCGGCACGAGCTCGCCTTTGGTGACGAGCTGCATCACCTTGTCTTGCGTATAGACACGACCCGTGGACGCGTCCAGCGTCCGCACGTACGGCACTTGGTGGGTCGAAAACTCGGTCAGTAGCACCCCTACCCTCGATGCATAACCCTTCCCCAAACAACAACACTACGTCGTACCGAACGAGTAAATGTCGACCGCCGTGTTGTAGAGCGATCCGAGAAGGAGCTCGGGGGCGGCCCATTGGTAGGACCCGACGCCGTTGGTCATCGACTGCTCGGACGTCTCGCGCGACGAGCCAAAGTCGTTGATCTTCGTGCCCTTTTCCGAGTCCAAAAGAACATTCCGGGACCGCAGATCGCGGTGGATGATTGGTGGGTCCAACGTATGGAGGTAGATGAGACCGCGGACGATGCTAACGATCGCCTCCAACTTGGCCGCCCAAGGGTACGTCGTCGGCGAGTGCCGCGCCAAGTAGTCTTGGAGGTTGCCCCGGTTCATGTATTCGAGCACGCACTCCATGTCGCGGGGCTGGTGCCAGCTGACGCCGATAAACTGAACAATGTACGGACTCTCAATCCTAAGCAGAGAAGAGTCAAGTGACAAGGCGGATACGAATAGGCTTCGTACGTGGCGCGGAGCAAGATTTCTTCGACAAACATGGCCAGACTCTCGGACGACTTGTCATGGATGCGCTGGACAACGACGACGTCGGCGCCAAAGTGGCTCAGCCACACCTCGCCGTACGCGTTGGAGGCCAGCGGTTTGATCGGGTTAAGGTCCGACGCTTCGAGGCGGTGGTCACAGAGCTCCGAGAGATCAATCTCGTGGGTCGCGACAACGTCTGGTGATGGAAGCCACGGCTTGGGCTCTGCAGGCGATGGAAGCCACGGCTTGGGCTCTGCAGACGATGGGAGCCACGGCTTGGGCGACGGTAGCGCCTTGGAGGGCGACCACACAGGCGGGTTGGCGTCGAACACTTGGTTCGCTTTGGGAGGATCTCTCGCCCTCGAGCTTTGCTGTTTGCGCCAAAACACATAGGCCAGGTACGCGCCAATGAGAGCGAGTGCGAGGCTGCTTAGAGTCCAAGTGAGAGCTAGACACGTTCAAGTGAGTCGTTTTTCTCCGGGACAAAGAAACCATACTGCTACTCGATGTGGACCGTAGCGGTGGCGCACTCGTTCCGGGTGTCGACGCTAAGAGCATCGTACGCGCGTCATATGTCTGCAGAATGGAGGTATACACGTACAAGGAAGAACGCAGACGTGGACAGCGTGCTCAATCGTCGTGGCTCCCCAGATCCGACGCAGCACGCCGTGAATGCTCGCGCACTTGGCCGTGTCGGCGTTGATATTGCCCGACACCGCGTAGCCTGCCTCGTTGTCCACGTCGTAGGGCTCCGCTTGGCGTGGTAAGCGGTCGAGGGCGTCGCAACTGTCACTGCTGAGCGAGATGTTGACGACGGGGCTCGGGAGGTGCCGTAGATCACTACACAGAGTCAGCCGCAGCCGGTATCGATGGCGCCTTGTACAAGGTGACGAGTTTGGGCGAGAGCTGGACGAACGCAAAAGTGTGCAGCGGGTTGGCCTCGAAACTCCTAGTTGAAGCGTCATGCACATGTCATACATACGGATCGTTGTACAGATACGTCATGTTGGTCCAGTCGTAGTCGACCACGCTTGTCACGTTGTTGTGGCCCATTTCCCTAGTACAAACTAAAATCGTACCCCGTGGCGTTCATGTCGCAGCACGTACAGCGCCGTCAACGTCGTTGGTAGACCATCAAGCGACGAGATCGAGTTGTTGTAAAGTGATCTAATCTCGACATAAGCGACCAAGCACGGCTTGCGTCGCACGTACAGACTGCGTAGCGCCAAGGGCAGGTGGGGTGGGATCTGGCGTAGACCCAAATACTTGAGCATTCTAGCCCATCAGCGCGTCAACGTCGCATCGGAATGATCGCCCTGTCGCACAGGGTGGTGATGGAGCTCGGCCACACCAGCGTGTCGGGCAACGAGAGCGCACTCGCGTTTGAAATGACGCTACCAGGTCCATGAGACGGCTCTTGTAGCGGCAGCGACGTACAATGTCTGCAGCGACGACGGGAGGGCCTTAATCAAGCGGACGACATCGAGCGATGTGAAGTTGATGATTTTTCTAATCAAGAGTGCGCAATGAGCCCACGCCGACGAGAATGAGCGACGTACAGGCTCGTCAGCGTGGTCGGCAGCACCACGTCTTGGACGTTGATGGCGCCCGTCGCGTTGATGACGGAGCTACACATGGATTTGCGTCAAGCCCTTGGTTGACACTGTCGGTCAGAAGCACAGGTTGGTCGCGCGATAGGCCAAGAGGTTGCCGAGGGCGCTGAGGCCGGTAAAGCTCGTGGTGGCCGCGGCGTAGCGCGCGACGATGCGGCACGAGCTGTCGAGGACGCAGGTGGCGTCGTCGCAGTAGCTGTCGGCAGTCAGGATCGCGTTGCCAGCGCTGGCGTACGGACACGTGGTCATGCTACAAGCTGGTCGAGCTAGCTCGTCGTTGGGCAAGCTCTTGTTGGGCTCTGGTCTCAACAGCACTGGAGCCTGCAACCGCGATCTGATTGGCTCATTATCCAATGATCGACGATGGGATTGGGTGCTCCGTTGACGAGCGTGTGCAAAACAGACGCACCAATCAGCGCCAAGGAGCTCAAGCATCCACCAATCGCGAGCCGTATCTGTTTTCGAAGGCCCAATCACACGCGAGGTGCATCCTGCCTGTTGCCTCGAGCCACCACCAAAGACAACCAGGCACCCAGAACGATGGCAGCGACGCCGTGTCGGTACGAAGGCGCAGGCGGCAAGGTGCTCGTTGCCGACGACACCTGCCCAAGCGGCGTGTGCGTCGTCAACAGCAAGTGCAAAGTCGTCGGCCGTGTCAACAACTCTCGAGAGACCTTTCGCGGGCTTAGCGCCATCGGGCGCCTCGACAAGTACTCCAGAGCTGCACTGTACGTGTTTCCTATGCACGATGCTCGAGGCAAAAGACTTGAACAAGTTCGCGTGTAGCCACGTGAAAGATTCGGCGAGCGTCGATCTGCGCCTCATGGCGTTGCCACTAAGCGTCCAGTGGCTGTAGACCCATTGACACGACGCAATTGCATCCAACGTGGCTGCGTAGAGCGTTTGAAAATGTCGAGTCGTTGGACCTCACACACGCCAAGACATCGCCCACCCTGACCGAACTGTACTTGGGTTTGTTTACACAACGTGTGTCGAGCCGAGAACAACGTAGGTGGATCGAGAACGCCTCGCTGCCGTCCTTCCCGCCGACGTTTGCATGGCCGCCCAAGCTCTTTCATCTGTACACACGTGGAAGTGCCACGCGTTAGCATGTCGTTGCCGTAGGCATCTTTCCAAGTGCAACCTCTCTCACATTCCTCCGAGCTTGCCCCCCGGCATGGGCTCCCTGTACGACGATCTCGTAATGCAATGGTACACATCTCGGACGTAGCACGCTCGGATCCAATGCGATTTCAAGCCTCCAGAACCTGCCACCGAACGTGACGTTCCTGTACACTGCACAGCTGCTACCTGTGGCTAGTCGCGCATGACGTCGAGGCGTAGGAGCTTGCCGAACAACAACTTGACCGAAATCATCGGCCAAGACTGGACGAGCATGTCTTTACTGTGCGTCTCACGTCCACGTCGTTGCATCCTGGAACGCCACTGTAGGGTTCTGTTCGAAAACCCGCTGCATACCTTTGCTTTCGTTGAGCTCTCGAGTGCGTTCACGTTTTTGTACGTCGTGCTCTCTCGCTTTGGAATGGACATCATGGCGATCGGTAGCAACTGCGAACAATGCAACCTGACCAACTTGACCGTGTCGCACTCGACCTTTGATGTGCTCAAGCAGCTCCCGCAATGGAACGGCGGCGACGAAAAGTTCTATGGCTACACCATGGACCACTCGGTGCACCCGGACGCCGTCGCATGCAATGCCCTCAACGGGTCGATCAAGATGCTCTGGAAGACCTTCACGGAGACCATCAACGCGTGCGTGATTCCAGGTACGTGATCGCCGCATTCAATCATGTTGTGGGATGTTTCGAGCTAGACGCAGTGGCCCCCTCGCCACCGACAGACGCCAACGCAGACTTTCGTACGACCCTTTTCATTCCATTCGAAGGCCCACACGCGCAATGCTAGGGCTTGGCATGTACTGCGGCATTGGGGCAACTCTTGGCGTCCTGCTGGTCGTCCTTGGTGGCGTGCTGCTCTGGCACCGACATCGATCGGCGTCATTGCACGACGTCGAGCACACGCAAGATACGGCCACCGATGCGCACATGCCGTCGCAGCCACGCCGCCGACGCCCACGGCGCGCCTTCCGCGAGCGCGAGGTTGGCCCGGAGCTTGACATTGCCGCCCTTCGGCCGTACAAGCTTGCGTTGCACGACCTCACAACCGTCTCGCAGCAGCCGCTTGGTGCAGGCTCGTTTGGCGAAGTCTGGCTCGGCCGCTACAAGACGCAGCTCGTCGCCATCAAGCGCGTCACGAGCAAAAGCAAAAAGCATGTTGCAAGCTTTATCGACGAAATCAAGCTCGTCGCGAGGTGTGATGCGTCCGATAGACAATTCTGTGCATCATCCTCACTTGTTTGTGCGATGTATGGTAGCCTCGACCACGACTGCATCGTCGCCTTTGTCGGCGCGAGCTGGCGCCGGCCCATTGACGTCGAGTGCGTGATCGAGTACATGGACGAAGGCGACCTCCGTTCGTACCTTGGCAAACATTCGTCCGCAGTTTTTACGTGGGACGCCAAGCTCGACTCGATTGCGAGTGTTGTCAAGGGTCTCGTTTACCTCCACAGCGGCGACCCGCCGATCATCCACCGCGACCTCAAGTCCCGCAACGTCCTCCTCGACGCTGTCAAGGGTACCAAGCTCACCGACTTTGGCGTCGCACGAGGCTGTGACGACGACGACGACGTGATGACCAACTGCATTGGCACGTACCAGTGGATGGCGCCCGAGATCATTCTCGGCACCTTTTACAATACGTCGGCCGATGTCTACTCGTTTGGTACTAATTTATACTGCCCCCGCCTTTCTTGACAGCTCCCGTGGTAGGTGTCTTGCTCTCCGAGTACTCGACCCACGACGTGCCGTACGCCAACATGGTCCACCCCGCGTCGCAAGCGCCCTACTCGCTCCAAAACATTTTGAGTTTGGTCGCCACCGGCAGCCTCCGGCCGCGCTTTGAGACGACCGAGATGCCGCGATGGCTGCTCAAGCTCGCGCTCGCCTGCATGGAAGGCGCGCCCGAAGACCGCCCCAGCATGCGCGAGATCCACAACGTCTTTGTCGAGGTCCAGCAGACAGGCCAGCCGCCGCCGAGCCTGCGTGTGCACTACCCACTGGTGTAAAATAAAATACGCGGGATTTCATCCCTGGATACTAGATGCCAGTATATCATTTCTTAGTGGCAGAAAATGAAATGAAAATGGCGCCAAACAAATCCGCAATCGCAACGCGACGGGCAGCAGCTGCAGGCACGTATGAGCATGGTTGCTGATGCAATACTGGAGAGAGATATCGCTAGACTCGATGGATGAATGATTCGCACGCACCCAAGTAGTCGACCCGGCGGTTGGACACCGGCGTACTGGTTATGTTGGACGATAGCACAACACGATCACCATCTAGACCACGAGCAGTGCAAGACACTGGTGTTGCCAAGTGCAATGATGACGCGGCGCCACATTGCACTTTTATCGATGGAAAAAAGCCAGACGCGCGGTAAAAATAAGGCACCGGATTCGAACCGCGGTTGCCTCGCCGTTGATCGGCTCGTTGCGGGCCACCGATGGACGCGGATGCCACGCAGCTCGGCACGATGCGCGCCGACTGTGCACAAGTAGCGGCGGCGCGATGGTCGTACGCCGTCGATGAAGGCGATCGCGACAGACTCGGCGCCGCCCGTACAGTACGAGCAGTGGGATCCGCATGGGTGACGACGCCCAATACAGTGCAGCGCTACTGGCGTTGATTGGCCCGGTGGCGGTTGCCTTCATTTTCACAAGTCCGCCGTACAGACAAGGCCGATGCGACCGCCATTGCTGCTGCTACTGCTGGCGCTCTCGGTGGCGCCTGGCCAGCCCACACCGTGGCTTCTCGTCGCCGACACGGACTGTGCCACTGCCGCGTCTAGTCGCCACGTCTGCGGTATCGACACACTCGGCCAGACCGTGGCCCTGCCCGCGACCGATCTCTCTGCGATGCACTGGAGCGACGGCCTCTACCTTGGCAACCTCAGCGCGTTCGCTGGCGACCAACTGTACACGACGGTGGACGTGCGAGAATGGCTTTCTCATGCACCCGATAGGTCTCTGGGCCACGCGCCGAGCGTCGACGTCTCTACACTCGTGCTGCCACCGACGCTGCACCGCCTGTCGGCTCACGATCTTGAACCGTCGTGAGCTCATCATGTCCTAGGCAGTTCCAGAACATCACAACACTCGACCTGCGAGAACTCGGAAGCGCGTTGAGCCTGCGCAATCTGTAGCCTTAGCCAGCACAATATCTCTGGCCTCATTCACCCGTCGTAGGTCCATCTTGGCTTGCAACAGCGTCCTCTGGCCGGTGCACGCGTCTTTGTCCCTGCCGCAGCTGACGACCTTGTACTAGCGCTAGTCGTCGTGAAGCGAGCTCACGCAACCTCTAGGCAGCTCGACACTGTCGCTTTGACGTCGTGGCCGCGCCTGCCACCGACGCTTGTCGACGTGTACGCATTTTGTGCATTTTGACATTTTTGTGTTGTCACGTTTCAATATTGTCTCTTATTTGATAGACAATTTCTCGCCACGGGCCTCGCCGACGCAGAGAGCCTCGCGGTACCGACCTCGACGCGGCGCCTGTAGGCGATTTGTTGTGCATCGAAGGCGCATCACGTCTCTTTGTGTTGCGGTAGGAACCTCGCACGCAACGCGATCCGCGCCCTCGCACATGTCGACTGGCGACAGCTCGAGCATCTGTGCGTCTTCTCTCATCTATTTTCTCTATACATAAGACTGATTTGGATGCGCAGGCAACTCGACAGCAACCCTTTACAGACGCTCTACAACGTGTCGTTGTCGCCCCAACGATTGACAACTTTGTACACGAGCCTTGTCCTGTCTATATCTCATGGACCGACGATGGACTAGCTCGTGCGTGGACTGTGCGCTGACAAACTTGACGCTGTCGGCGGCAAGCTTTGCAGCCTTGAGCCAGCTCGGGCCTTGTCGCGACGGCCCCTCGGGCTGGTGCGTCCCGGCCAACGTCTCGACAGACGCCGGTGCCTGCGCCAATCTCGGGGGTATCTTGCGCACGCTTGCAGCGGCTACCACCGCCCCGTACACGGCGGCTATCTGCGTGCTTCCAGGTACCAGCCCTCGTCCTCTCGTCATTGCTGAACTAAGGCGGATCGTAGATACCACCGTGCTCATGGCGGCTCCATCGACCCCATCGACGAGCGGTCCGTCGGCACCGTCGTCTGCAGCGTTGATGGGCCTAACATATATATGTAGTCCACAGCTCCGCCGCAACGATTGGTGGCGCCATTGCAGGCCTCGTGGCTATCGTGGCTATCCTCGCCGCGTGCGCCCACCGAGACAAGTCGCTCACGCAGCGCAGCAAGACACGGTCACTTTCGTGCGACGCGTACCCGGTTCTCGAGACGCCGCATCTGCGACGATACCCTGGCACGATTGCCGTCGAGTCCAACTCGCTCGGCCCGAACGCGCGCTCGATTCGAACGAGCTGGGGCCCGAGCCTCAGCGACGACAGCAATCTGTACGTCAAGCCGATTCGGATGTTCCGCCTCGAGCTCGCCGACCTCCACGTGACGAGCACCAAGCCGCTCGCGTCCGGAACGTACGGCGAGATCTGGTTTGGGCGCTACGACCGCGAGCCCGTTGCGATCAAGCGCCTCAAGAACAAGACGCCCGAGCGCGTCCAGACGTTCGTCGACGAGATGCTGCTCATGTCCCGGTACATCCACGTGTGTGTGTGTGGCACGATTATCCATGTCTTGTAGTATGAACTCGCCGTATATTGTCCAGTTTATCGGCGTGAGCTGGGAGCTCCCGATCGATATGGAGTGCGTCGTCGAGTACATGGACATGGGCGATCTGCGCACGTACCTCACGGCTGTCACGCGCATGACGTTTACGTGGCGGGCCAAGCAAGCGTCCATGGCCGGTATTGTCCGCGGCCTCGACTACCTGCACTCGCTCGAGACACCCGTGATGCACCGCGATCTCAAGTCGCGCAACGTGCTTCTCGACTCGAGGAAAGGGACGAAACTCACCGACTTTGGCGACCTGCGCGAGTCGACAGCGACGAGCAGCGGTGCATTCCAGTGGACGGCGCCCGAGGTGCTCCGAGGCCAAGCGCACTCGCCCGCGTCCGACGTCTACGCGTTCGGTACAACTATTTTCTCGATCTTAGCCATGAGACATGAACTATGGGGTAGGGGTGATTCTCTCGGAGCTGTCGACACACAAGGTGCCGTACTACGAGTCCAAGACCCACAGCAACGCGGTGGCACTATTGCAGCAGGTGATGCAAGGCAAGGCCCAACCGCTCTTTGACAAGTCGCACACGCCCGCGTGGGTCATTGAGCTCGCCATGCAGTGCCTGGCGATGGACCCCGTGCGCCGACCGACCGCCGCGGCGCTCGTGGCTCGTTTGGATTGCGTACATTAAGTGTTTACATGCCCTTGTGATTGTTCCATACTGGTACCGTTGTCGCACGATTTCTGGAGAAAGTACGCGACGGTATAAAGGTCCGTCGGTCGTAGTCGATGACGCGGCGCGGTCCTAGCTTGTACATTGCTGACACTCGTTCCGCATGAAGGGCAATGAGAAAGACGTTTTTTTATGAGTTGAAAGAAGGCGCAACGTCTCTTGTGGGAGGTGGGCGATTCAGCGGTGCACCTTGAACACTGCGACCAAGCAAGACGAAGAAGGCGTGTCTCTCACTTCTATGTGGGCATGATGCAGTAGCCACTGCTTGCCTTCCTGAAGCTGCGGTGCTGGCGCGACACCCCGTACAAGGTTGCAGGTCCCGGGTACTCGAGGTACTCGATGGCTTCGAAATTTCCGAGCCAATGATTGGTTCATGAAAATTCGAGCCTTGCCGTGATTGGGTGAGAAACGGCAAAGTGGGATGCACGAAGATCGCAGTGTTCGAATTCCACTGCGCAATGCACGCAGCGCTCGTCGGTCTCGCTCTCTTGAGCCTGACGCTTCTCGCCGCGCCATGTCCGTACAGCGATGTCAAAGCAAGCGTCATTTTGGCCGCCGATGCGACCTGCGCCGGCGGGCGCACCGATGTCTGCGGCGTCAGCAGCTCCTGCGTGGTGCTGGACGGCGACCTCGACAACGGCCTATCGACGTTTACGGGCTTTAACAGCCTTGGCAACGTCTCCAACTATGTTCATCGTCATTTGTGCGTGATGCAGATTCGTCATCGTTTGACGGACATCTTGTCGTCTATTGTAGGACCATGGGTGCGAGTGCGTCCATGACGTTTGCAGCCGCGTCGCTACCGAGCTACCTCACATCCATGTATCTCAATGACTTCCCTCTAGCAACATATTTTACGACCGCCAACCCTAGTTCGTTCGAGAACGTCGGCGTCGTCAACCTCTCGTCCTCACAATCGCCTTGGTCGAGACGTGTCACGCACCTGTACACCTCTCGTTTCGGTCCATCGGTCCCGAAATGTGCCCGCGTAGATCCATCGTCAATGGTTCCATGGACGCCACGACATTTCCATGGCCCTGCAACCTGACCAGCCTGTACCTTTGCTTCTCTCTCACCATACCTTTCAATGCAGGATGTAGGACACTGCGCAAGAATGCTCTCATTGACGCACCAAGCAATCTCCCGTCCACCCTCACCACACTGTACGAAAGACGCAGTGATGCGACAAGATGGATCTTCGTCCGGTCTAGAGTTGTGGAAGACAACCAATTACACGACCTGCCGCCCACGCCGCCACGCCTCGAGCACCTGTTCGACTGCCACCATGGTCCTTCTTCGGTCGTCTCACGCGAATCGTGTCATGTAGCCACCTGGACGCCAACAACTTGACGACGATCACGGATCTCGACTGGTCGCGACTCGTGACCGTGTACAAACTTGTCATTTGTCCACCGATTTTAGAGTGGTCATCACGTAGGCGCCTGGGCCGCAACCCGATCGAAACGATGGCTCGCGTTCAGTTCTCGCCGTCCCTTCGCTTCTTGTATATATGTACGATGTGCAAAAGAACGACTCTTCTGAGGTTACGATAGCGCCTGCGACGACTGCCCCTTGCAGCAGCTCACGCTGACGCCAACATCTTTTCATGCGCTCGACGCGCTGCCGCCATGGGACGGCAACACATCTCGCTTGACGGGGTTCAACATGACGCGCAATATCTCATCGAATCGATCCGCGTGTGCCAAGCTTCAAGGGACGGTCGTGCCGCTATGGGCGGGAAAAGCTCCTCCGCTTTCGTTTGACGTCTGCCTCGTCCGAGGTACATTTCGCAACTCCTTCCTGCTTTCTCATCGTATGTATATGGACAGATACAAATGGCACGGCCCCGACGAGCTTGGCCTCCATTCGAGCAGGTAGATGTACTGAGTAAGCTAGGAACGATGTCGTCACAGAACCCTGGGGTTAGGCACGGGGCTTGCGATTGGCGGCATCGCGAGCGCCTTTGCCATCGTGCTCCTGGTGGTCGTCCTCGACCTCAAGCGCCGCCAGTGTCAAGGCGAAGCGGCATTTGATGACGCGTACGCCAATGTGCAGCCGTCGCCGAATCGCCACGCGCAGACTGTGTACGTCTACCCGCGCAGCTCCCTTGGACAAAGCATGGTCTCGTGGTTTCCTGGGGCGGCTACCGATGATGTCTTTGTCAACGACTATGGCGCGTGGCACCTTGTGGATCGCGACGACGACGGGTCGATCGCGGTGGCGATTGCTGTCGAGCCCACGTCGCAGGCCTTGGTGGCGTCCATTTAGAGACTTTTGAAAATTCTTGTTTTGTCCCTTTTCCATCACATTTCCTAGCGTTTTTAAGGCTAAACAAGAGGCAAGCATTGCCGCAGCAGCTGCACGAGCTGCATGGCGGTCGGGCGATCGGCTGGGCTCGTCGAGAGACAGCGCGATGCGGTCGTGTGCACCCACTCGGGACTGGCTTCGTCCAACGTCGGTGTGAGCTTGCCGGATGCGACGTTGGTCAAAATGTACTGCTGCGAGTAGGCGTGGCCCGTATTCGGGTTGATCAAGCTGGCGTAGGGCACGCGGTGGGTCGACATTTCCGTCATAATGACGCCTACACAGAGGTGTGTTCTCCTCCAACGACAGTGATATTGTAGGATACCAAAGGCGTAGAGGTCAATCAATTCCGAGTACGGGTCGCCGTTGATGATCTCGGGCGCCATCCACTGGTACGTTCCCATGCCATGGGTGAGCGTGCTGTCGGTGATTTCGCGCGACGTGCCAAAGTCCGTGAGCTTGGTGCCCTATTTTCACACAATAAATCCGATGTGGTTTCGACAATGCAGAAAAAATTGTACTTTTTTCGAGTCGAGGAGGACATTGCGGGACTTGAGGTCGCGATGGATGATGCGCGGCTCAAACGTGTGCAAGTACACAAGACCGAGCGCAAGGCTTAGAAGACAGTCGAGCTTTTCGTGCCACGGGTAGATCTCGGCCGGCGTCTTGGTCAAGTAGCTGCGAAGATCGCCGAGGTCCATGTACTCGACGACGCACTCGAGATCCGAGAGCCGGCGCCAGCTCGCGCCCACGAGCTTGACGATATAGGGCGAGTCGATTCTATCCCAAGTCGATAAAATAGACCCTTAGAATAGAGAGGCAGGACGCACTTGGCGAGGAGGAGGATCTCGTCGATAAAGTGCTTCGTGCTCGGCACGGACTTGTCCTTGAGCCGCTTGATCGCAACGGACTCGCCGCCGTAGACCCCGGCCCAGACTTCACCGTACGCACCCGCTGCCAACGGACGGGCGCTCGAGACACGCAGCTCGCGGAGCTCGAGGCGCACCATCCGCAGCGTCGACAAGTCGACGTCGTCATCGTCCACAGGCTGGTACGACGCGTCGTGGGTTGGCGCCTCGTTGGCGTTGGTTTTGGACTTGTTCGATCGGCGTTTGCGCCAAAAGAGACACCAGAACAGGAGGCCGAGTCCAACAAGGCCGCCAAGGACACTGCCGACAATCGCACCGGCAGCTAGCGAGACGGTGAGACCGCAAACTTGCTTCCACGGGACGTACAAGTCGACGAAGACGACATAGTTGGCAAAGGCGTCGGGGTGGGTGTTGGTGTCGTCGTCGGTAGCGCTACTCGCCATCAGAAATCGATGATTTCGTTGAAGCTATCGGGCGTACCAGAGGAAGGCAATACGCAGGCCTGAATTGTATTGCTGGTGCGACCCGCCCAGAGGTACTTGATTGATCCGCGCTGGCGCGTGCACGCAGCGGCGTCAACTGTGGCGTCCGTGTCAATGTTGAAGCCGACGTAGGCGTTCGGGTTGCGGTCCCACGCCTGCAGCTTGTTGAGCGCATTGTACGCATCCTCGCTGAGCGTCACGTCCGTCAGCGGGCAGCCTGCGCAGTCGCTACACCATCACGATAAGACCTATTGTCATCGCTGGATTCTGTGTACAAGAACGTCATGTTGGTGGAAAACACGACATTCGAGATGGTCCGAACCGGGTTCAGCCCCAGCGAGCTAATTTTCATAAAGAGATGCGACGAGAATAGGGACGTACAGGTACGTGACGCTCGAGAGGTCGAGGTTGGAGAGCGCGCTCACGTTGTTGCCGTACATATTGCTATATCTCCGTCATCAGGACACAATCATATCGTTTGAATTACGTACACAAAAGCAACGGTGGGTGGCAACACGGGCATCGTCGTCGCAGTGTTCCACTGCATGGATCTATTGTAACATGGGAATCGACAAACTGCTACGAAGGATTATACACGTACAGGCGCTTGAGCTTGGGTGGCAACGGCGTCGGGAAGGTGCTAATTTCATTTTCGTCTAAAATCCTAGCACGACAAGTTGTTACTCGGAGCACCATGCGGCAAACGACGTACACGGAGAGAAGCGACGATGGCCACGTCCACGAAGCTGGCAGCTCGGAGAGATGGGCGTCGCGAAAGTTGCTACGACGCACCGATTGGTCACCGCTTCAAAGCCCGCAAAGTGACGTACATAAAGTCGACTTTGGAAGGCAGCGACGTCTTGGCGCTCGCAAGATTCAAGCCCGCGACCGACGTGATGATTCTGCCACCGTGCGCTGCCATCAGCATCCGCTATCAAGTCGGTAAGGGCTCGTACAGGCTGGTCATCGCTGGCGGCGGGACGAAATGCGCGAGGCTGATGGTCGCATCCGACTCGACGATCGACCTACGCCGGCGTGAGTATCGTCGCACGGGTAGAAATAAGCTCGTACAGTGTCGAGGGCTGGAAGCGCGAGAGGTTCCCAAGCGCTGCAATGTGGTGAAACTCGACCAGGTCGTCGGTGAGGTTGGCCGAGACGGGCGCCTGCACGCAGTTGATGTTGACGTAGCAAACGCTGGCGGGCGCGCCGGCGCAGTTGGCGTCAGCGGCGAGGACGCTCGTGTTCAGCGTCGTCTTGACATCCGCGTACGCGCACGCTGCAGCCACCGAGTTGCGGCGCTGCATCGAAAGTGCAAACTGGCGCTGTGCTGGTGATGGCCATCAGCAGGTGCGCGGGAACCGCCAATCAGACGCCGCGGCATCGCATGGGCCAATCCGACGCCACTTGAATAATATTTTGACCAATCCGCAGCCGAGAAAATCTTGTGACGCGCATAGCCGGTCGAGACGAGACACGTTGCCGAACGGTACAGAGGTTACTGCGCACGCGGCAATAGTACTCTGCCCGTCGTCGGCCGACGCAGGGGTACATAATAATAGTACCCTGGGCCGACGACCGTGTTATCATCGAGCTAATCAAACTGAATAAGATTCGATTCGAGACGGCTCCGTCAGGCGCCGCGTCGTGCATCGGGCGAGCAAGAAGGTTTGTGCAAGTGAGGGTTAGGCGTTGGCATGCCGTCTGCAAAGCACTCTTTAGACTCTATTCGCACGGCTACAAAGTCAGGCCTGGCTGCGTCTGCAACAACAAGTACGCAGCCAATCGAGCCAGGCATCGATCGCCATCGCGGGGCCGTCGGGCAAGAGTCTAGAAGGTCTCTCCGCGCAAGACAGATAGAAAGGAGTCGGCACCGAAGAAAAGAATCGTTCGACGTCGATGACTGCGATCTCTCCTGCACCATGGCAAACAAGCGGCTCGTTCCTTGGTCTGCCTCTGCTGCGAAATAAACTCGATGTAAAGAGGGCGCTCATATATAGGCTTCAAACAATACACGACCAAGATCTTATTGGTGCCTTGCATACTCCACGTACATCATTATGTGTACGTCAGCGCGCGACAAGGAGCATAATCACGCCTCCAGTCTCCATCGATAGAACAAACGTGTCTAGTTTTAGAATGTGAAAGTATGTCGATATGAATTATTCTATTGGGATTTCAAGCCATCGCTGTCGACGGCGACGTCTCGGCGATGAGCTGGTTGATGTACGCGGCGCACAGCTCGGGGTAGCTCTGCTGGACAATGTGTCCACATTTCGGCACGACAACGACGTGGGCATTCGCAAGCTTCCCATCGAGGCGCTCGATGCACGACACATCCAAGATCTGATCTTCTTGGCCCCAGAGCACGACGGTTGGGACCGTGATTTTGTGCAAGTTGTCTTCCAGAATGCGCTGATTCGCCATCATGTCCTGCAGCACCTTGTCAAAGATCGGCATGCGCTCGGCCTACGCATCCCATATGAGACAACAGAGTACTCTATACGAGAAGCAAGGTCAAGTACGCGGTAGTTGGTCATGAGGCCGAGCATGATCTTGCGCATGCCCTTGGGCTTCTCCATGACGTAGCCTGGAGGGCGGTAGGCAATGTACTGCATGAGGTCCTGGAACTCGTCCACCGTGCCGGCGCGCATGATGTTGACGCCTTCATCTTCGTATTTGGCCAGCACGGGACTGCGCCGGGGCATCGAGATGCCTACAATAGCGTCCACCAACATGTCGACAATATTGTGTTTTTGTAATACCTGCAGGACAAATGAGCGTGAGACTCTGGAGCTGGTCGGGGTACGTGGCCGCGTACAGGCCCGAGATGAGACCACCCATCGAACAGCCCACAAGATGGATCGGCACGTCCTTGGGAACAGTGGCGTCCACAAATGCTTTCAGCCGCTCGACCTGGACCAACGCGCCGTACTCGGCAGCATGTGACAAGGGCGCCGTCATCCCATGGCCCGGCAGGTCGGGAATCAAGACGCGCGACGATGGCAGCGTCCGGGACGCGACGCTGAGCCACGAGTCCTTCTCGGAGGAAAACCCATGCACAAAGAGCACGACGTGGTCGGGCGCTGCTTCCGCAGTTCGCGGCCCGCGCTCGAGGAACGACCAGTGGTAGCCCCCAGCGTCGACGTGCTGCTTGACGTAGCCAAAGCGCGATCGCATCGAGTTGAGGCTACGACGAGAAATCGCGTGAGCGCGACCGACCGATGAGTATAGAAAGGACATACAAGACTTCGGCGGCGCAGCGAAAGACCTTGTTCGAGACCGAGCGCACCGAGCAAGACGGCTCCATGGTTGTCGTCGACCCGTACAAAGGTGTAGTAGCTGGTGCCAACGGCAAACTGCACGACGGCGGCGTGTGCCACGAGATTGATTTGTCGCCGTGTGGTGGTACGTAATCGCCGGTTTCAATTCGGCATGGCGGGTTTATTTTCGGCATCACGGAAGCCAAGGGCAATGTAGCGGAGCGTACGCGTACATGTATAGACGCGTTCCGCTAGAGATTTGATGATGAGTAATCGTCTCGCCGCACCGGAGGCAAGCGCATTGCGTGCTGGTGCGAGCGTGGTGGAGTGCAAGGGTGCCCTTGGTGGTATGGCGCGTCGTCACTATGGCACATGCCGCTTTTAAAAACACCAGCACTCTACACGACCATCATTCCGAAAAGAGTGTCAGGAACTCGAGAGGTGATCGTGCCCAAATGGCTTGTCGCGTCGCTACACTGCGCCTGAAGCTCTCGCTACCTGTAGTCGAGAGGTAATGAAGAAACATTGGCGGAGCAATCGAGCTTGATGAAAGTACGCCCGTCGGCCACTCAGCAAACCGCTTTGCGAGGGGCGACGAGCGGCCATCGATCGCTGGACACGCTAGATTAAAAGACTATATACCATCTGGTTGGGTTTTTAGTCTGATTGGATAGTCATGGTCAGGCCGAGGATACAGCCACCTCGAAGAAGATAGAATGAAGCGTCCTATGCATCCTATGTAGTTTGAAACCGCTTGGCGCGATATCGTCGGTTTCACACTAAAGCGCCTGGCTACCAACGACGCATCGAGATGGCTGAGATGTCCGAGGTCACGGGCGTCGCGCACCCGCCGTTCTCGCTCGTGCAGTACGAAGACGCGCTCTTGCTGGAGCCCAACCCCCACGTCGACTTTACTTACGCGCCGCCGACCGAGCCGACACTCTCCGAGCCGCTACTGTCGCCCGAGATCTTGCACGCGATGCTGCCACCTCGGTACTGTTTCTCGCTCTCATCGACTGGTTTTGTAAAATGCACCTTATTGTCTTCATGGGTAGCGAGTGGAAAGAATTTAGTGGCACCTGGCGTCAGCACGTCTCGATGGTTCCGAGCACCCGCGCCGACGTTGTCGCCCTGCAGGCACGATTGGTCGTTTCTATCAAAGACACGTCGTCAAAAGAGAGACTAGGAGCAACTCGATGCGATGCTCGTCCAAGAGCAGACCAAGAAGCAAGGCATTTGCGCCAATCGAGAGCGACTCCACGCTCAAGTGTTTGGTGCTGTATCACTTTGCTGACTTCGTGGAGACGATGTCTCGTAGACGAAGTCATTCGACAAGTGACCTTGGCGTGCCCCGAGCGCGGTCTGCTCTTGCTGCGGATCCGAGACGAGATTCGCATGACGATCGAAGCGTACCAAGCCTTGTACAACACCAGGTACACGACGGAGCGTTGGCCGATCTCAGCAAGGCGACTAGCTTGTCGTTTGGAATCCGCAAGACCGTCATGGCTGAAGAAGGCATGCAAGCGGTCGACGACGAGTTGCGGGCGCTGCAAGCGACCAACGCCGAGCTGCGAGAGGCTAGAAGCCACTGGATGCACCGCCTCAAAGTACTCGAGCACCAGTATGCGACCGAGCGCGAAGCTCGCGCCAAGCAACAAGCGAACGTCGTCGGCCTACTTCGCGATCAAATCCAGCATTTTCAAGCGTTTGGGGAGCTCCGAGATTCTCAATAGACAACATGGCTTCGACTATGTTCTACAACAAACACGCTATGTTAGCGATTACGGCTTGCAACGACTGAGCAGCGCCGAGAGCATGAGTGCGGTCGGACGGTCTTCTTCGTGCAGCTGCAAGCACTGCAGACCAATGTCCTTGACCCACGACGGCACACCCGGACTATCGAACGTCGGGTGCATCTTGCCTTCGCGCACTTCTTGGAGGACGTAGTGCTGGGCCAAGGCCTTGCCTGTCGTCGGGTGACGCTTGTCAGCGTACGGCACTTGATGCGTCGCAAACTCGGACAAGATGATCCCGAACGAGTAGATGTCAGCCGGTGCACCGTAGTTGGTCGCAGAGATCACTTCTGGTGCCATCCACTGGTACGTGCCGATGCCGTTGGTCATGAGATCGTCTTCTTCCGCAACGCGTGAGGCACCAAAGTCGGTGAGCTTGGTACCCTTGACCGAGTCCAAGAGGACGTTGCGAGACTTCATGTCGCGGTGGATGATCGGCGGCTTGTACGTGTGGAGGTAGACAAGACCGCGGACAATACTCCCAATACAGTTGAGCTTTTGGTCCCAGCTAAACTGCGCCGGCGACTGGTTCACGAGGTAACTGCGAAGGTCGCCGAGGTCCATGTACTCGACGACGCACTCGATCTCGATCGGGCGGGTCCAGCTGGCGCCGACAAACTTGACAATGTAGTCGCTGCTCATCCTAAAATGTAGTACAAGTTGTCATCAGTCGTGCACCCAGCCTAGAAAACATGTCTAACTACAAGTAGACGTACTGGGACATGAGGACGATTTCGTCAATGAACTTTTGAACCGTGCGGGCCTCATGGTTCTTCATGCGCTTGATGGCCACTTGCTTGCCGCCGTACGAGCCGAGCCAGACTTCGCCAAACGCACCCGAAGCGAGCGGTTTGTTGGACGTCACGTAGAGGTCGGAGAGCTCGAGTCGGTGGTGGAGGAGTGGCTTGACGTTCAAGACGACGTCGGCATCTGTGTACTGCAGTGCGCCGCGCGAGCCGGCCGTGCCGATGGTGGGGCCGCCGGTGCCGTTGGTACCCGTCGTCTTGAAGCCGCCCGTGCCGTGGGTGTTGTTGCCGAAGCCCGGGTTGGTCTGTCGTTCGTACGCGAAGTGGGCGGGCGATGACGACTGCTGCTTGCGGCGCTTGACGACGCAAAAGGCAACAAGCGCCAACAGCGCGATGACACCCACGGAGACACCGACGATAAGACCCGTCTCTAGACCTTGAGATTTAAAACCGGTTTCTTGCCAATGTCGCAACGTACGAGAGCTGCCATTAGAGGTGCTGGACGGTGCTTCCGTCGTGGTGCCTACATAAGTGTCCATCATCAGAACTTGGTTTTTGCGAGTCGAAGGCAAGTACCAGCGGCGGCAAGGACGCAAACCGTCACGGGGTACTTGGCCAAGTCCTTCCAGAGGCTTCGGCTCGTGCCGCCGATCGCCGTGCAGGTCGACGCGTCCGTGTTGAGGGCTTGCGTCACGACAAACCCCGAGAGGTCGTCATCGCTGCCGCCCCACGGCTTGAGCGCACTCAGCGCGTCGTACGAACTGGCATCGATCGTGACGTTCGCAAGTCGCGTGCAGTTGGCCACATCACTAGCATCGCGGTCGAATGAGCTTGGAGGGACGCGAAGACAAGATTTCTGACAAGTAGGTGAGCTTGGTCGAGAGCTTGACGCGTGCGATCGTTTCGAGCTCTTCGTTCTGTGAGAGACGCCTACATCATTTTTCATGAGGTGTCGAAAAGGTAGAACATGAAGCACAAGAAGGTCAATGCCGTCCAGTCAAAGTCCGTGATGGTTTTGAGATAGTTGGAATCCAAGTTCCTGATCAAAATCATTAGCTTCCGTGTCGCAGTGAATGGAAGCGTACAGGAGTGTGAGGGATTTTGGCAAGTAGACCAAATCGACGAGGAGGTTGCCTTGGATACCCCTATATTCCAATATTTGAGTGAGAGTTTTGTACAGTGGATGCTGTATACAGCTGCGTGAGGGTTGGCGGGAGATTGTTGGGGATGTTGTTCATCGAGTTGTTCATCAAAATCCTAACATCATAGCCATCAACAACACACTCAGTCTCGCAAGTGACAATGTACGTACACGGTGTCGAGGCGGGAAGGCCACTTGATGGTGTTGGGGAATGTCACGGGGCAGCTCGTAAACTCCCTACACGTCCACATTGGCATCCTTTTCACGGCTTTTCGAACCAAAGTACAGAGTGTAGAGCGAGTCCCATTGTGTGTCGGACGACGAGACCAAGTCGATTTTGGAAATGTTTTGAAAGGTCCTACACATACCAAGTTCAGTTTTCATGTACAATCGAACAAATCAAACAACAGGTAGGTGAGTGTCTTTGGCAGCAACATCTTGCGGATCGTCACGGCCTCCGAGTCCTTGACCGTTCTAGGCATACAAGTCAGTGCGCCATTGGAGCTAGTACTTCAGAACGCACAGCTCGTCCAGCGGGTACGACTCCATGTTGCCGATCGCCGACCACCCCGTGTACGTCGGGAGCGTGAAGTTGACCGAGTGCGTGATGATATCGCAGCTCGCGTTGACGCCGCAGACTTTATATGCCTTGCCGCAGGTCGCATCGGCCGCAAGGATCGTGCCGGACATGCCTTCGTACGGGCAGGCCGCGCGGACGACGCCGAGGCCAAGGCCGAGCCACAACCACGCACGCTCTTGCATGGTTTTTGAGGTATGGCAACCTCTGGTACCCGACATGTACTAGCCAGCGACACAGCCGTTGAATCCACAACCAAGTGGAAACACACATCATGGAGAAACCGGCTGCCCTTGGCAAAGACAGTGTGACCTTGTGTCTGAGCACAAACAGACGGCTTTTACGGGACCTCTGCATCGTTGGTACTGTTGGTACTACTAGTAGTCCAGAAGCGCCTAGGGCTACAGTACAGGTCGATGGCACATACATCGTACCGGTAGGGAGCGGGCTAGGCTGAAGAATGCGTCTACCTTGCAGCACGTTGCAGCGCATCCAAACGGCAAGGTGCTGCAGACGCGCGTCATGATCGTTGCTCGATGCGCGTCGTCGATGACACCAGCCAATCAAACGTGGTAGGCAACACAGATGGTGTCCATAAAAACCAATCAAATGATGCGTACATGGCCTAACTGGCGGTAAGGCCGTCGACGCGTCCATGATAGCGTGCGAGGAACATCGTGCTTGGTGCTGTCGTGACCACGACTGCACGCTGCTCATTGCCCTTGTGCGTAGAGCACTCGCATCCACACGGCAATAACGACTATGCATTTGTACCTCTCAAGAACCGCTGGCGATGAGGAACTCATCGGGCTTCGTGCTGTGGTACATGTACCTGTGCAGATGGTGCATCTTTGATCAAGGACGTCAACCAAGCGGAGGCATTGCTTCGCACTTTCTTGCCCATCATGACGCTCCCTGAAGACAATCGCTGCATTGTCGTCGCGAAGGGGCTCAAATGCGGTGCTTGACCACCCCGAGCTTTCAATGCCATGATTCCAAGCCTGGGTACTGTTGCTCAGGCTGCCATGACGCGCTCTGTCCGTCGTCGCACCCACGTTCTCACAAACTGAAATGCATTTTGGGCGGAATCGGATGTATGTACACGCGAGACGCCAAGGTTACTAGACACGCAGTGCTGTTGTTTGTTGCGGTCTGATTCTGAGACTCGAGGTCGAACCTACTGATGAGCGCGGCTAGAAATGGCGGGGCGTCAGTGTCTGTCTACACGATCCTGGCAACTCCTTTCGTACGTTTAAGCAATCACTCCACAGCGCTACCTACCCCTCATGGCGCATGCAAGCTCCCTAGAAACGGGAAAGGCGCTTCTGTCGTCACGGAGTCGCCTGCAGCAGCACGTATGCAGCAGCACGTTGTGCGACACGCTAGTAGCAGCCTCGGTGCTCCATTCCATTTCATAGTACCAAATGACAAGAGCAATCCTGCGACTGCTCTTTCTCGCCTCGCTGTGCGCAAGTATGGATACTACGGCCCCAACCTCTCGGTCTACACTGCGGACGAGTGCTGCGGGCCAATTTTGCCCGGCGGCAACGCGCCGTACTGCGTCATCAACTCGACCAACTGCGAGATCCTCGTCAATATTACCATGGAAGGCCGCACCAAGCTGCCGCGCTTCAACGCGATCGGCGATCTCTCCCGGTCCCTCGTCGCCTACATGTACATCGCCTAAACGTCGTACTTGAACTGGAGAGCGAAGCGTGCTGGGTGTAGGAAGTACGGCAACAAGTCGCTTCTCGTCATGAAGGGCATGGCCTTCCCCAAGACCCTCACCACTTTGTACGCATATAGATAGACATGTTGACCCGGTTGAGAGAATTTTGTGGTTGTGTAGGACCATCGAGAACATCACCACAATCGACTTTAACCAGATCAAGACGCCATTTCCAGATTCGATGCGCCGCATGTAATCGTTCATTCTCTTGGCTAGAGGACGAACCTGACACTGACTAGTGACGTTCTGGACTCGTTCTTGGATGTGTTTCCGGCCACCTTTCGCTGGCCCGTGGCGCTCAAGAACCTGTAAGTTGTGCCTGCGACGACAGCATTCAACGTCGCATCTTTCTGGTCTAGGACACTGCGTGGCAACCGACTCCAGACGATCCCAAAGGGCCTTCCGGACGGTCTCGTGTCCTTGTACGAAGGACCGATGGATGTTGTTGCGATCTGAAGCCACTGCATAGAGCGATTCAAAACAACACGCTCAATGACTTCAACTACCTCCCGCCCAATCTCACATTTCTGTGCGCTCAAGTTGTCATATTTAACGCGGACTCATACGAAATTGCGTAGGAACATTCGCCACAACCAGTACGAAAAGGTCGTCGACATGGACTGGACCAACTTGAACTACCTGTACGACCTACTTAACTGTTTCTGTAGCACTTGAGAGCTAAAAGAGTTGCGTAGCCAACTGAGCTACAACCCGATCAAGACGATTGCCAACATTCGACTCTCTGACAAGATTCGTTTTTTGTACAATATTGTCTTTGCCTTCGTTGACTCTTATACGATGTGGCTAGCGGCTGTATGGACTGCAACGTGACCAACTTTACCATCAACCAAGCCACGTTTGATGCACTCAACGTCCTTCCTGCCTGCGACGACGACGAAAGCACGCTCAAGGCGACCTGCTACCGCTTCAACAAAAACACGGCTGTCGACATGGCAGCGTGCACCGCGAGTAGCGGCAAGCCGTTGCAGCTCTGGCCCAGCGACACCACTGTCAAGGTCAATGTCTGCGTCACGCCCAGTACGTCGACATCTCCAGATCTCGAGCTCTGAACTCACTGTCACTAGACACCCTCGCGCCGCCGCCCGTGCCCGAAGCCACCAACCGTGCGCTACCTCGCATGCGCTTTCAAACTCTTACGCCATTTCGTAGACACGGGTTTGATTGTGGGCCTCGCGGTCGGCGCGGTCGTGCTCGTCGCGGTCATTGCATTCTTCAGCGCGCGCAAAACAAAAAGGCAGCGTACGATGGGACCGGCTACTACCAAAACAACGAGTTTACAAACGGCACGCTCAATGGCACGCAGGGGTCGGCCGGCGACTACAGCGATATGGGCCTCAACGTCGAAGATCTGCGTCTCCACAAGCTCGACATTGCCGACTTGAAGGTCACGGCCAAGAAGCCATTGGCGTCCGGCGCGTTTGGCGAAGTGTGGCTCGCAACCTACTGCGACGAGAAGGTCGCCGTCAAGCGCATCAAGGACCGCCGTATTGAGAGCGTCAAGAAGTTTATCGACGAGATCAAGCTCATGGCCATGTAGGACATCGCAAAACCTGTGGGATGATGACAATATGTGTCCACCTATTCTAGGATGGAAAGCGAATTTGTCGTCAAGTTTGTCGGTGTCAGCTGGCGCCGCCCGATCGAAATGGAGGTCGTCGTCGAGTACATGGACCTCGGCGATCTGCGCAACTACCTCATGAGCCGGCCGCCCGCGACGTACAGCTGGCAGGAAAAGTTTACGTCCATCATGAGCATCGTCCGGGGTCTTGTATATTTGCACACGTTTGAGCCGCCGATCATCCACCGCGACCTCAAGTCCCGCAACGTCCTCCTCGACTCGAAGAAGGTATTCTTTTCTTTTTTTGGATTAAAACTTTGATGTTTTGAAACTAGGGCACCAAGTTGACCGACTTTGGCGCGTCCCGCCAAGAAGCGGACGCGGGCATGACCAACGGCATTGGCACGTACCAGTGGATGGCGCCCGAGGTCATCATGGGCACCGAGTATACGGTCGCCGCCGACATCTACTCGTTCGGTACGCAATTTTCTTATTAGGGATAGGGTTATGAGACATTTTCGTAGGCGTCATTTTGTCGGAATTCTCGACCCACGCTGTGCCGTACGGGGACGTCAAGAACGCCATAACGGGCCGCGCCTACACGCAGCAAGCCATCATGTCCAAAGTCACAGCCGGCGAATTGCGCCCAACCTTTGAGCAGTACGAGACGCCGGTGTGGGTCCGCGACCTCGGCATGCAGTGCATGGCGCTCAACCCGGACGACCGCCCGACGTCCTTGGCGCTCACTGCGATTCTCCAACGCGTCAAGATGCAGTTTTACGCGTAAGCACACATCTCTAAAGTGTTGTGCAATGTTGAAAATCATGTTCCTGTCTTCCCATGAATGTTGCTTGCATCATCCTTTCCTCTGTCTTTTGAGGTACTGACAATACATATTCGTGATAAAATACTTCTCTATTTTCAAACGTATTAGTCGCTCAAACTATCGACAAACTGCCGCACCAACACCGTGAGCTCCAAAGTGGTCGGTCGCAGACGCGGGTCCCACGCCAAGCAGCGCGCACCAACCTTATGGACCCAACGCGGCGACGTCGCGTCAAAGTCCGGTCGCAGGTCGCCGCTCGCGACCTTGGTCAAAAGACTCTGCGCACTCTGCGACGAGAAACAGCGTTGGGTGTACGGCACCTCGTGCGTACTCATCTCCGATACAATCACCCCTACGTCCATGCCTCTCTTCTGAGCAACCGCATCTCGAACGAGTAGAAACGTAGTACCAAACGAGTAAATGTCGGCCGCCTCAGTGTACGACGAGCCGTTGATGACCTCGGGCGCCATCCACTGGAACGTGCCAATGCCGTTGGTCAGCGTGCGCGAGTCGCAGAGCTCGCGCGAGACGCCAAAGTCGGTCAACTTGGCGCCGCCAGACGCGTCCAACAAGACGTTGCGGGACTTGAGGTCGCGGTGGATGACGACGGGGGTGAGCGTGTGTAGAAACACGAGGCCGTACACAATGCTCTGCAAGACCAGCGCCTTCTCGGCCCACGGGATCGCGTGCCGACCGGAATTGGCGAGGTAGCTCCGGAGGTCGCCCGCTTGCATGTGCTCCAGCACCGCTTCAATGTCGAGGAGCCGGCGCCACGTCACGCCGAGAAGCGTCACAATGTACGGGCTCTGGAGTCTACCATAATGGCATGTAGATGGTTTCGAGAGGATGAAAATGTACTTGGCGAGCAGGAGGATTTCTTGGATGAAGGCGTGGATGGCTTCGGGTCGGCGGTCTTTGGTGCGCTTGATGACCACGGTGGCGTTGGTGGCGAGGTACGTGGCGCGCCAGACGTCGCCAAACGCGCCGGACGCGATCGGCTTGGCATCGGACACGACGAGGCTGGACGCGTCCAGCTGCAGCATCTGGAGCGTCTCGAGCTCGTTGGACGTCAGCGACGAGATGAGGTAGTCGTCGGCGGCGGCGCGGTCCGTCTTGGCGACGCGCTGGCCTCGGCGATAGAGACATCCAAACAGGATGCCAGCGACCAGAATGCCAAGCGCAATGTACAGAAAATGGTAGAGCTCTAGAAGAGAATCGTTGTCGGTGGATACATAAGGGGACGTCATCAACCTTTATAGTCGATCGTCCATTGGTACGAGTCGCGACTAACACACACGACGTAGTCTGGCGAATCGTCCCAGAGCCGAACTTGCATGTCGCCGTCTTTTGTGCAGTCGGATGCAAACGGCGGCACTTGAAACGTGGCATTCGAGGACGAGCCATTGGTCGGCGAGAGGTTGCGCAGCGCTCGCAGCGAGTCTTCGCCGTCGACAGAGAAGAAGTCCAGGGAGCAGTTGTAGCATGCACTACGTAGCTCATATAAGCTTGCCTCGAAGGTGTAGGAGTCGCACAAGTGCCGGAGACGGGACGAGATGCGGAGACGGTAGAGTCTGCGAACGTTGTCGAGTTCTCTACAAGGACAATCATCAACAACACCAGCGACGGTAGCGTACAGCCTCTCGAGCTGCGCCAATTTCAAGTAACTGAAATCATCGCGTCCGTGGTCCAAGATGGTGCTACGAGTCAACTTGTCGTTGACCTCCGGTATGCAATAGTACGCTAGTACAGGTTGACTAGCGTCGACGGGAACTCGCTGGGGTAGAAGACGTCTGGAAAGCGAAAGCTTCGGAGCTCCCTGCATACATCCACAACATGAGTATGCATCCAGAGATTGCGAGGCAGACAGGTGCTGAAGGCGCCGGAAATGTTGAAAGGAAATGTAGTTTGGCCCCAAACGACAGGAGGTCAGTGCCCTAGTACGTTGTCGGCGTGAGCGGACATCATTGCGCAAGGACCAACAAGCGTGTAAGCTCCCGCGGGATGTCGACGTTGTCCAGGCCCGCGAGGTTGGCGCCCACAAGCGACCTAGCCACAAGACATGTAGAGCATGAGCGATCGAGGAATTCAATTGCTCCAGGTACAGGGTCGCGAGCTGCACGGGAAACTGGTGGTAAATGTGGCTCCGCGTCAAATTGACGAGCTCTCTATCACAAACGCTACGCATGACTTTCCATTCTCAACCTATAAGAATACTATCCGACAAGGTAGCATGCGGGTACAGGAAGACGTCGCCGAGCACATCGTTCGCATCCAGCTGGACGCGCGTCGACGCACTTGGCACGCGACGAACGACCGAGCAGTTGCTGTTGACAAAGCACATGCCGCTGCCTCCGCACGAGCCATCGGCCACAAGCGCGGTCTCGTGCAGCGCCAGGTCGCTGTACTTGCAGCTTGCCATTGAGCATTGAGCGGGGTGTTGGACAGTCGTGTCTGCTCCTGTCTAACCGGAGTAATTTACATACTATCCAATCTATCTCAATATGAAGTACATTATCGCATACGTCTCAACATCGGCAAGGTATACCAGAATACGGCAGCTCTACCAATTATAAATATTCCGTTAGGAGCCACAGAGGTCGCAAGAGATGGTCATGATAAAGCGACGGACCAATCACCAACGATGCCGTTTCTGATTGGCGCGCGCCATGGGACACGCCAAATTGGCATGGCCTTGTGCAAGTACGCCGACCTTGGTGTCGACGCCGTCGTCCTCACGGCCGACGGCTCGTGCGGCGACGGCGCCATCATGTGCGTCGTCGACAGCAGCTGCGCGGTGCGTCATGAGGTAGCAGCCAATACGACACGCTTCAATCTACGGTCGGGCTGGCGCCTCGGTGACCTCTCGCGCTACCCCCACCCGCAACTGTGCGCCATCTCGCGGTAGTCGCTGGACACTCATGGCTACGTAGAGAGCTTGTGGACTTGGATATTGACTTGTCGCTTCACCGGTACCAGCAGCTGCCGTCGGAGCTTGAAGAATTGTACGCAACGATTTGCCTCTTCCGCGTGGCGAGACTACTTTCGCGATAGATCGTTTACGAGCAGCATCCTGGCGTCCGAGACAACGACGACTGCAATGGATGGCCTCGAGATGCCCCGAGGACTCCGGCGCATGTGGGTTTGGCCTATGTGTTATTGCTTGACGTCGCCCTAGGTCCTTTGAGGGCTGTTATCTGGGTGATGGCGTGAGCTTGAATCGCTTCAGTCGCCTCGAAGAATTGTACGCTCGACGTTTATCCTTCACAGTAGAATTAAACGAGTAGGTCCTTTCGCAAATCGACGCTGTCTACGTGGTCCCAGGGTGTATCCTCCACGCTTCGCCGCTTGTAGGGTTGACAGTCTCGTCGTCCGACTCATGTCCTTATCATCTAGGACGTTTTTGGACAACACTTATCACAGGATCGATAATTATCAGATCGATGATCTTGGCAAACTGTCTGCGCTTGAGTCGGTGTACGTGCATCGATGCTCAACATTCTCTGCGACTTGAAGCGCACGCAATCTGCTAATAGCGATCTCAGCGGGGTCTCTGAGCTCTTCAATTTCAACGCGACGCCTCACACCCTGCGCTACTTGTACAACCAGCGTTTGCCTTTAAAATGACTTGTTGTCTCATGGTGCTGTAGCTCGTGCAAGGACTGTGATCTCACAGTCTTTTCGATGCAACCGCCGGCTTTGACCGCATTGAGCTTGTTGGCACCAGCATCCAATGACAGCGCTGGGTACCGCGTCCGTAGTCTGCACCAAGATGCCGACTACTGCCGCGTCTATCAAGGTACCATTCGCTCACTCTGGCCGCCCTCCAACCACACCATTTGCGTTCTATCCCTCAACAAAGACCACATGTGTGCGTGCTCTCTATTCTATCAAAGTTTCAAGTTGATTCTTTATAGACATGCCATACATCGCGGACACCAACAACCGAGTCTACACGGACCTTGCCATCGGCGCCGTAGCCCTCTTAATCATTGCCGTTGGGATATACTACCACGGGAAGCGCGTCGCCAAGACGGACCGCGCCGCCGCCGACGACTACCTCATCTCGTCGCTGACGTCCAACGAGCTCGAGACGCTCCAGATGCTGCAGCTGGACGCGTCCAGCCTCGTCGTGTCCGATGCCAAGCCGATCGCGTCCGGCGCGTTTGGCGACGTCTGGCGCGCCACGTACCTCGCCACCAACGCCACCGTGGTCATCAAGCGCACCAAAGACCGCCGACCCGAAGCCATCCACGCCTTCATCCAAGAAATCCTCCTGCTCGCCAAGTACATTTTCATCCTCTCGAAACCATCTACATGCCATTATGGTAGACTCCAGAGCCCGTACATTGTGACGCTTCTCGGCGTGACGTGGCGCCGGCTCCTCGACATTGAAGCGGTG